AGATATTTCTCCTCAACAATCACATTATTTATACCTCCCTCATAGCAACAAATACTTAAACCCTTACCGACAGCTAACAGTTGAAAGCAGAAGTTTAGGAGGTTCCCATATCCAAGCTCACCCAACAAGGGCAAAGCCTAGTTTAAAACCAGTATCAGGGGACACCTGGGTGGCTCAGTCAATTAAGCCTCTGTCTTCAGCTTTAAAATTGGGCTCCCTGCTCTCCCTGCTCTCCCTGCTCTCCCCTCTCCCTCTGCTGTTCCTCCTACTTGTGCTCTCTCTCTGACAAGTAAGTAAATAAAATCTTTAAAAAAAAACCTCAGTACTAAGATTGCTCTACAGACTATATACACATATGTCACTACCCTTTTCAAGACAGTTATTCATTCACCTAACTGTGCAAATACCACGTGGTTGGGCGTTGGAGGTGAAATAAAGGTACACCTTTTACTATGCAGTCACGCCTCTTTATCAGAGGTCATAATTTTAACATTACTATGTACCAGAGAATATAGTTTAAGTCCTTTAAATTCATTTTTCACTCAATCTGTTCAACAACCCTGTGAGACAGGTATTACTAATAGTCTCTCCTTTTTAAAGACAAGGAAACTGAGGTTCAGTTCAACTTGTTCAGTGTCACAGAACTAGAAAGTGACAGGGTCAGGAATAAAATCTAGACTATTTGATGCCAAAATGTATGTCCATAAGGACTATGAAATATTAAATCAGATGATTACCCTGAGGCAAATTTTATTTGCAACATAAGCATAAAAAAAAATGCACCTTTCATATGGTATCCAAACAAGAAACCAGTGAAGGAGTGAAGCCTTAATATAATCAGAGAATGTACACTAAATAACAATGAGCCGAACTCCAAACTGTTTGTATGGTGTTAACAATCAGAGATGGTGCCGTGATGCTGAAAAGGAAAGGATCCATCATTTCAAAAGAAAAGGAATTTCAATCAGAATGCAAGTTATTTGAAGACAGGAACCATGTTTGTCTCACTGCTATCTATCTCCAGATTCTAGAGGTCTTTTGCACAAAGGTGATCAATACCTGATGAAAATGGTAAACACTGGGAAATAAGCATGTCATTTAAATGGTACACATCAAAGAATTTTAGTTCACACCAGAGAATTTTAAAGATGATGACACGAACCTATTTCAGGTAGGTTTTTTGGGGGAATATTATTTTATTTTTAGCAAACCAAAGTGGTAGTAAAATAATCAAAGGAGCCTAAGAGAATCTGCCTGGGAAGAGGAGGTGAACAGATAAGAAAAGAATGCCTACCTAGGAAGGTATTTTCATTAATCCTTTTCCTCGGTGAATATTCAACTCATCTAGCTCCAAGTGCAAGCAAAAAAGTAGGTGGAAAAAGTAAGTACATGAGACTCAATTGCCCTTCCTACTCTGGGATTCTTTTTTCAAAAGCAGCTTTCAAATATATATGCTTTTTATGAGAAACATTTTATCTAGTAGCATTTAAATTCTCATTTAGGGAGAATGTGAAGTTCACCCAAAAAGCAAGTTCCAGTGTCAAAGACTAATGTTCTCAAACCATTTGTGTGCCTCTCTTTGAAATGAGTAATAAATTCTATTTCCCAACTAAAATAATTCCACACATTATAATTAGCAAAAGACTAAATTTAAACATCAAGAACATTCATGAAGTGCTAAAGTCAAATTCAATTTGAGGCTAATAATTAATGCCCACTTATTTTTCAAATACTGCCTCCCCCCAAATTATACAAATGTTAACTTTATTTTTAAAATGAAATGTAGAGAACATATAACCTTTCAATTATGGCAAATTTTGTATCACAAACTGACTTAATCACTGTAGAAGTCATTTTCTAACAAAATTATATTTTAAAATCAGCTAATAAATCAAAATATATTTATAAGATGAAAATGCAGTGAGGTGAATTACACTCTTTATGGACAGATTCATTAATATATAGGATCATCATTTCCCACTTAATACTTCACCTGTTTTGTATTTCTATCATTGAATAAGTTCTGCTGATTTTGCTATCAATACTTAGCAAAAATCCTGAATCTTAAAATAATGCAAAAAATTAAAATGGATGATGTGCTTTTAAGGTCTACATTGCAGTCTAGTAATGCAAGAAAAAATGTAAAGAGCCCAATACATTAGGCTCTGCATTTTGGTATAAGCTGTGGAATAGGGGGCACCTGGGTGGCTGTCAGTTAAGCGTTTGCCTTCGGCTCAGGTCATGAACCCGGAGTCCTGGGATCAAGCCCCATGGCAGGCGCCCTGCTCAGCAGGGACCCTGCTTCTCCCTCTCCCTCTGCCCCTCTGCCCTGCTTATGCTCTCACTCTATCTCAAATAAATAAAAATCTTAAAAAAAAAAAAAAAAAAAGCTGTGGAATGGCCTCTGGCCACCTCATCCACCTATTCTAAACGTCAAGACTAGTGCCAATGTCTCTTCTCTAACGTTTCCCTTGACCCACACATAAAGTCACACTCACTGCTCATATATATGTTGACTAAAATGCCCACACTCTATCAGAATTGCTTAAATTCCCACCACCCAAACTAAACTGTGGGTATCTTGTGAGCAAGGGCTCATCCTTATGTATTATTTAGCTAAGTCATGCTCAATAAATTGTTTAATGAATTATAAACTAGTGCCAGGGTTCCTCTCAAAGGCCGTTACTGAATTAATTACCAAATAGGACTAAAAACTAACAATATCAAATTGGAAAGGATCTAAGCAATTAGTCTTCACATCACGGGAAAAAGTAGTCCAGGAAAAATAAGTTGACTTACCAAGGTTAAATAGTAAGATCTGAATTCATGTTTCAATTGGAAATTTAGATTTTGGGTAGGTATTGCCCACCTCTGATCCAGAGTAAACCTCTCCCAGCATACCCTTTCCAGTCTGTTATTTTCTCTTTCTCAAGAGCTTCTTGAGGAAGTACTTAGCAAGTCGCTTAATTCAACTAAAAACAATTTCTGCAGTGAAAAACCTCTATTCACACACACCTGAAATATGATGGTACAAGTTTTAGGTAGAATAAACTAGAAAAGAACAAAAAATTGTCTATTGCTATAAATTCCCCACCTTCACTGTATAGTCCCTTTAGAATATAAAGGCTTATTTTTAATGTAGATACATTACATATTTTTTAATCAACTCTCATAAACTGAAACACAAAGCTGGGAGGAAAAATGACTAAATATCAAAAAAATCCTTGTAGGGCTCTAGCAGATTTCTCAGAAAACTATCTGTATACTAGTATAAATAGCTTCCAGCCAGGCTCCTGTACTTTTTTCCCTCTTTTATATGTTGCAAATGGCAACACAAAGCCTGCAAAAAAGTTTTAAATTAAAAACAGAAGAAAAACTGGAAATATGCTAATCAATAAATTATGTGCGTCCATACTATAGTACACCATATAGTCATATAAGATATATGTATCAATACAGAGGAATGTCTTTGATGTTAAAATTCATATATATGCGTATGTATCTATCTTGCCATGCAAAGAAAAAGATCTAGAAGTAGACAAACTGTTAACAAAGGTTATCTCTGGACACTGGGAGAAAACAGGAGCAATTTTTTTTACCTTTACAATGCTTTTTAAAAATAAGCAAAAAGATTCCTATTTCTTGTTCTCAATAGTTCCATGATCTTCAGCAAATTAAATTAGGTAGCCTGTAGCTAATACACAACACACAGACAATAGGATCTCCTCATAGAGTTATTCTGAGGACTACAATAAATGATGCACAGAGTACCTAGCACAAGGCACACAGGAAACACAATCAGTGGTACCTTTATTTCAGACAGTAATGAAATGTCTTAAGTGATAGTATGTAGCCATCATATGGAAAAACTGTTAAATACGGCTGCAATAAAAACCACTGGAGAAAACAAAAGGGGAGGACAGCAATATGTTCCTGAAATAAGGCCATTGAACTGTTCTATCATGTATAATCCAGCTTTGAAAATTTTCTCTAAAATGTTTTCACTGAATTTATCCTAAGGCTTTAAAAAACTGCAAGTGTGAGTATGTACCTTTCTCTGTATGTATACTAAGAACTGGAAAATACTTATGAAATCACAAAACTGCTGCTTTCTGTCTAGCACATTTAACTCTGAGTTAACCATCTAATCAACTAAGTACACATGTGATCAGCAAGAACTTATCTGCAAGGATAATAATCACTGCATTATTCACCAGATCAAGAGAAAAAACCTCAATCTGTCAAAAGGAGTTTTAAGTTATAGGACAACTAAACTATGGAACATTTATGGTTGGCCCTTGAACAACACAGCTTTGAACTATACAGGTCCACCTGGCGATCTTTTTCATTAAATACAGTACTGTAAATGTCATTTTCTCTTCCTTGTGAGTTTAATTTTCTTCTCTCTAGCTTACATTATAGGAATACAATATATGATATAATATACAAAATATGTGCTAATTGTCTAGGTTATAGCTAAGACAGCCAGCTGAGAGGATATTAGTAGTTAGGTTTGGGGAGAGTCAAAACTTATAGATTTTAAACTGCATGGGGGGGGTGTCAATGGCCCAACCCCCATTTTGTTCAAGGGTCAACTGTATAGACAATAGAAAGAGGAAGATCTATTTGTCTTTATATATGAGAATATTATTGATATACATAAAATACGCAAAACTATATAATCCTATTTTAAAAAATTAATTTAAGTGCATACAAAAAAGAGCTAGCTGAATATAAACTTATTAATGATTATCCTTGAGAAGAGGATTTGGTCATATTGGTAGAATACTCACTCACTTTTCATTTAGTTTGACTTATAACCAGTTATTTAACACTAGTAAATTTATTTTTAAAATACACCAGCCCCAAGATTCAGCAAGATTTCTGTATTTTCTATTTCCTAGTAATAATGCTATTTTCTGTGACAATCCAAATGTTATGCAACATAACAATTTTTTAAATAACATATTGCAGAAAGTATGTTTCTTAGGCTTTACCTATTCTTTCAAGGGATTCTTTATTGAAAAAAATCTTACAATGTATTTTCACTTTTAATAGAAAGCATGAAACAAAGGCACATCAAAGTAACCTGCAAAGAGACATTAAGAATAAAGCACTGTCCTACTCTGGTCTGGAGGCAATTTCTGTTGCCCTGTTTTAGATGGAAACAAAATAGGGCCTTCTGAAACAGAATAGAAGAAATTTTTCCCAATAATCAAAATCTTACACTCGTGGTGGTTAAAATAGGAGAGACTTATCAAATGTTATCTTTCTAGGTAAAATCCATATACTGTCTAGTTGCAGTTTTGCTCAAATCAATCCAACATCCAAAAGTCCACTTTCAGTCAGCAAAGATACCGGCATACAAAATTTAACATAAAACACCAATTCTCAAATTTGATAAAAGCAAGCACTTAAAAGTAAAGAAAGCCTACCAATTAAGATGCTGTCACTTCTGGTCTTGAGGGGAATAATCATAAACACCAAATTTTCAAGTATCCTCAAACCCTTTAACCTTGCTTAAATGCAAAAATTTATCGTGAAGCAGATTTAAGTAAGAAATTATGTTGAAAATCACTAAATTATAGGAAGAAACAATCAGCGTATCATTCTGTAGTTATCCCTATAAACATTAAGCATTTGCGAGCTTAAGATTTAAAACTACCATCAATCTTTAATACATAAATCTTTCAAAGCATGTTCACCTAATAATTACCACTGAATTTATACTAAAAATCCTGTAAATGTAAAAGTTCTTCACAAGAGGGAGACAAAAAATAGGTTCATTTTTATTTTTATAATCTTTAAAATTAGATTCGAGCATGGCACAAAAATTGTATTCAGTTCTGACTAGATTCTGTACCACCTCCTCTCATGAATTCTTAAATTTTAAGTAATAAGGTTCAGATAGTTCTCATAGGTGAAAGGACTTAAAAAATACACCTGGTGGCCCCCCAAAAGAAAAAATACTTGCTATGTCAAAAATGCTTCTATAAAAATTGACAAGAAGAATTCCAGAAAGACTGAATACCACTATGCTTTTGCCTTCACTAAATAGCAGTCCAGATTACAGAAATCTATAAAGGTAAATACACAACAATGAAGTGTTAATACCATGAACAGCACCTTGAGTTGCTTTTCTAATTAACAGGTAATCCTTTTACATCATTCATTTTACTTGTTAGAAGTCACTATGTTGGGAATACAAAAGAACAATAACCTTATCAGACTTTGGAAACCCTCCAAAAAGGGGACTAGTCCAACTGACCCAGAATTGGATCTTCCCGCTAAAGCTGAGTAAAAGGCAAGCGGAGTAATAATTATAATGAAAACTTTAAGCTGTATCTTAGAGGCACTCAAAAAACGGACTAAACTACCAAATGAAGAAGCCCACATGTAGTATTATGTTTCACTAAAAATGAAAAATAAATTTAAGGAAACTGCAGAACCATTTTAGAGCAAAAGATCTGACTATATTTACTCGTGCAAAAGCATCTAACCCATTTGTCATAAAGGTATACTCAAGTTATCTGTACCAAACATCAGCTATTTTTTGTCAAAGTGACTACTGAGCAGCCATAATCTTGCCTCAAAATCTTGACCTTTTTTCTTATCTCTCGAAATGAAAACCCCTAGCAATTAAGATAAAAAAATTTGGCAAGAATTAGATATTAAGAAATATACAGTAATAAGAACTAAGAGAGTCAATGCTAAATTAGTCTTTTACTTTATAAAGCCCATTAACCTCCCCTTCAGAAAGCTTCTTACTATACATATGGGCTTTTAAATGCAATATTCAAGTTAAAAATTTTACCGTAACATTAAATCAAGTGTACTATTTTATAGGTACTCTGAACCCACCCACCAGGTTATACATACTCTCACTCAATCATGTAAAGAATTGAATTCTTTATTTGTGATATCCATAAACGTTGCTATTCTATATTTCTATCCAGGAAGGCAATTTTCTCCTATATCATTGTTTTGTTTTGTTTTTTTATAAACAACAACTTGAATTCTACTGCATGAAAGGGCTACAAATATACATTTGTTAACCAAGCAGAATACACAAATATTTTGCTTTACAACTTGCACCTAAGATACCAGTACACGTAGCTGGTTCATTAGCTGTCATAGCAATTTGGGGCCATTGCCCAAGCTATGCATAGCAGTTTACATTTTCAAATCTCCTCTAGAAAGGGCAATTGTGATAGGGACTGTTAACTACATTCCCGTAAAGCCCATCTTAGTTACAAGTAAATGTGTAACCAAAGTCTGCACAGGTTTTTGATGGCAAAACTTCTAAATCTGATGCAATTATCCTAAACAAGTTTTTTAAACAAATTGCTTTGCAGATATACTGCCATTCTGCCAGTAGATGGTGCTACAAAGGTTGGGGGAAGGAATTCCAAGAGGACAACAGTTCAGCTATAGGAAAAAACGTTTAAACCTGCTCTGAAAATACAAAAATGCATTTAGTTTAAGAGTAAAATATAACCCTTATTAGTAACCATTCATTACAGACAAACCAGTAAGAGGGATGAAACTAGGCCATCTGAAAATTTTTAAACAGTTTATATGAATGAAAACACATGCTTAACACAAACTATCTTTTCGGACTACACAGTACATACTTTGAAGTAAATTCTCATAGAAAGAAGTGACCAACCATGTCAAGATGATAAGCAAATCGCTTAGTACAAGAGATGGATGCACAGAAACTTTAAAGATTTTAAAAAGCTACATCCACCACTTCAAAAGTTTTGCCTGTAAGGGATAAAATTCAACACGTCACTAGAAGGGCAACAGAAAAAAAAAAAAACCCACCAAAGGACCTTTTAAAAGTTTCTCTAAGTACACATCAAGAATTAAGAATTAACACGAAAAATTTTTAACTAATATCCCTTAAAACGGTACGGAATGGATCCTAGAAAAAAAATGTTAGACATATACGGTCAAACACAATGATTTATTAAAAATAAAACGTAAAAATGATTTTTGTACATATGCTTTCAAATTTCAGGCATGGAATCCAAGTAGATTTCATAGAAAACGCTGTAGCCAGATATCAAGTCCTTACAACAAAGTAAACTACCCCCCACCCCAACCCCCGCCCAGGTTTTGCTACAGAATCAGCAAGTTCACTCCCTCCCCCCCAAAAAACACAAATTAAAACAAGACATTTTGCTAGTATAAAAACGACCAAGGTCCAAGTAATAATAAAAAAATAGAGTCCATCAATGACTGTAACACAAAAATGTGTATGTGGGGCCGAGTCCATCTTCAGAGGGAGAGACAAGAGAGGTGGCAGGCAAATAGGGCAACACCCCCAAGGATAAGCAGCCTTAGAAGCGGCTCCCCCAAGGGAAAAACGGGGAAGGCGGTGGGAGAGGAAGGAACTCAGGAGTTGACCCTAGCTGGGTTGTTGAAAAGAGCTACCCCTGTAGCCACTCCCAGGCATTTTTAGATTTTTTCTTAGAAGGAGCTGCCTCCATAACCACCTCCACCGCCATAGCCGCCTCTGTAAGGTCCACTGTTACTACGACCGCCCCAGCTGCTGCCACCGCCACCGCCGCCGCCGCCGCCCTTCATGGGCCCATACGAGGACTGGTGCTGGCTGTAGCTGCCGAAGCCGCCGAAGCCGTTACCGTAGTCGCTTCCACCGTAGGACGAACCGCCGCCGCCGCCGCCTCCGTAGGCATTGTAGCCGCCGCCGCCGCCGCCGCCGCCGCCGTAACCACCGTAGCTGTTATAACCGCCGCCGCCGCCCTTCGAAAGGCCGTTCTGGTCTCGACCGCCGCCGCGACCCCGGCCGCCTCGGCCGCCTCGGGACGACCGGGAACCGCCTCCGCCCCCGCCGGAGTGGATATCCTCCTTGGGGACGGCCTTCTTCACTTCCACGCGATGGCCCTGGATCGGATGGAACTTGACAACCGCGGCCTTGTCGGCCGCGTCGTGATTCTGAAAATACACGAAGCCGAAGCCACGCTTCTTGCCCGACTGCTTGTCGGCAATAATCTCGGCCTTTTCCACTGTGCCGAACTGCGAGAAATGCTCGATCAGGTCGCCCTCGGCCACGTCTCCCTTAAGGCCCCCGACAAAGAGCTTCTTAACCTTGGCGTGGGCACCGGGCCGCGCCGAATCCTCCCGGGACACCGCCCGCTTCAGCTCCACCGTGTTGCCGTCCACGGCGTGGGGCGAAGCGGCCATGGCGGCATCGGCCTCCTCCACATTGGAGTAGGTCACGAAGCCAAAACAACGGGAGCGTTTGGTCTGGGGGTTCACCACCACCACGCAGTCCGTCAGAGTCCCAAAGGCCTCAAAGTGGCCGCGCAGGCCCGACTCACTCGTCTGCACATTGAGGCCGCCGATGAACAGCTTACACAACTGGGAATTCTCCATCTCCACGGCCCGGGCCTTCCCCCCGCCCTGCGAGCTCCGAGGTTTCGCCGTCGCCGTTATCGTTGGCTAAGGCCTCTTCACAGCTTGGGCCCAGCCGTTGCTGGAGCCGCCACCGCCGGTCACCGACGGGGAAGGGAGGAAGGGAAGGGGAGGGAAGGAGGAAAAGAGGAAGGGGGAGGGAAGGGGAGAGGTGCCGGCTAGAGGGCGAGCCGAGGAGACTGCAAGACAACCAAAGCCGCCGCTACCGCCACCGCCACCTCCGCTCCCCTATCTGGGCACCACACAAAGAGGCCGCTGAACGCGCGCGCACCCGCCCCGAGGCGTGCGTCACCGCCGACGTACGGCAGCCCAGAGCTGCCCGCCAATCCCTGCGTCGCTCTCCCTAGTCCCGCCTACCGCGCCGCAGCGCCGCAGCGCCGCTCTCGGTCACAGACTCCCCGCCCTCCGCGGTCGATTCAAGCCCTCGGCCTGCGTTGCTCCCGCCACCGCCTCTACAGCCACGCTTTCACACCCTGGCTCCCCCGTGTTCCCTGACCAGGGACTCTCCCTGCTCTCCGCGCACCTCCGCAATTCATTTCCTCCCAGCCCCGCGGCTGTTCCCAGTGTTCTGCCCCCTCCCCTTGCCGTATCCCCTCGCCCAACTCCGCAGTGGCGTTCGCGCCAGCCCCTTGAGAGACATGTGGGTTCAGCCAATCACTGCGATCCGCTCGTGCCCACTTCCGTTTTCGGCCGCCGCTGGACGGGCGCGCTCCCCGGTGCGTGCTGGCCCCGGCGCGCCCTGTGTGCGGAACCTGAGAACCTGCCTGCCGCCCCGACGCCTTCCCCCCCGCCCTGAGCTTGGGGGTAGGGGGGAGTGAGCGGGGGCGCGCAGGGGGCCGTTCCCAACGGATATGGCCTGGGGCGCCACGCGCGGGCTTTTTGAAAACTTGACTGTTGGGGTTGGGGGCCTGGATTTACCCGCCGCAGTTCGGCCGGGCCGCTACACCTGGCATCCTCTCCGCCCCCCGCCCCCCGCCCGCCCAAAGATGGAGGGTAGAGGCCTGGTCGGGAAAGGCAGTTACCGTTTACGGGGGCCCGACGCGCGCTTAAACTAAAACACTGGCACGTGGCCCTGCGCAAAAGCGAGCCGGAGGCCAGGTGAAGGGCGGCGGTGCGCCACAAGCGCTTCCGATTCCCGACCGAGGCGTGGCGCGAGACCCGCCGCCACCCTGCGGCCATCTGTGAAGCCCTCGCGACGCCCCTCTCAGCCTCCCTTCCGCACTCCGACAGCTGGCATTTTCATTTTACTAAAGGGAACACATCATTTTATAGGTTTACGTTAACTATGCGTTGCTTCTTTCCCAACACGTTAGCTTTTTTAAAGCATTTTATAACAAACCGGGGCCCAAGGAGTTAAACACAAAGACATTATACATAAATACCACGCACCCCCGGTAAGTGCCTTACCGACCCTCACTCAGGTGCAAATGCAAGCAAGTTATAACGGCTTCCACTTACGGAACCTTTGTGTGCCAAGCAAGATACAAGGAGTGGGACATGGTAAATCCTGAAGATGTGGTATTCCTCACTGCATCCTGGAGTATTCAGCATTGAGTGGTGAAAGAGATGGAACATGCACTCAATCTCAGATTCAAAAGCTACATAAAATTTCTAAAGCGACTTCACATGAGCAAAATAGAGAGGAAACAAAAAAACCACATAAGGTTCAAGGAACAGTAGTAAGTAGACTAGTTTGGAGCAAGAGGTTTTTGATAGAAAACAGTAATGGGTAAGATAGGTTTAGAGTCTTGGACATTATGGAACGCCTTGAAATTTAGACAGTAGTCAAAATTAGTTCAAAGGCATAGAGATTAAGCTTCATGGTTTAAGGACAAACTAGAGTCTGGTACTACCACCTACCAACTGTGTGATCATCCAGTTGTGTGACTGGATGTCACTTAACCTTTTTTTAAAACTTAGCCAGTTTTATCATCTGAAAGAACAATTTAACACCTCCCCACTGTGGTAAAAATTAAATTCTGTACGTAAATGCACAGTGCCTGGTACATACTAAGTGCTCAGTTCAACAAATATACCAGGTGCTGGGAATATGGCAGTAAACAACAGACAAAACTCTCTGCCCTCAAAGACCTTACATTCTAATAGGGAGAAGCAGATAACAAGAATGATACACAGCATGATAGTGATCAGTGTGCTCCCGATTAAAAGAGGACAGTAGGAAGCTATTACCTTTTTGTTACAGAAAAACCCACAAAATTCAGGTATGTCAGGATTTGCTAACCGACTGATGATAAAGAATGAAGAAAACAAAAGCATTCCAGTGTTTGAAATCTGGAACACTAAAATTGTAGCCTGAAAGAACTACAAAATTAAGAAAGGAAACTATTTTGGAGGGAGTGGGGGAGATGATGAACATAGTTGTTTAAGGTGATAATGCGATATTTATAGGGCACTGTCTTCCGGGATGCCCAAGATTACACCTCACATGAAAGATTAGACCTTAAGAAATGTATTTTAGGGGGCGCCTGGGTGGCTCAGTCGTTAAGCGTCTGCCTTTGGCTCAGGTCATGATCCCAGGGTCCTGGGATCGAGCCCCACATCGAGCCCCACATCGGGCTCCCCGCTCCGCGGGAAGCCTGCTTCTTCCTCTCCTGCTCCCCCTGCTTGTGTTCCCTCTCTCGCTGTGTCTCTCTCTGTCAAATAAATAAAATCTTAAAAAAAAAAAAGAAAGAAATGTATTTTAGGGGCGCCTACGTGGCGCAGTCAGTTAAGCATCAAACCCATTTTAAGCTCAGGTCCTGATCTCAGGGTTGTGTGATTGAACCTTAGCTAGGGCTCCACCCTGGGCATGGAGCTTGCTTAAGATTTTCTCTCTCCCGTTCCCTCTGCCCTTCCCACCCCTCTCTCTCAAAAAAAAAAAAAAAGTACAAAAAAGGTTATAACAGTAAAAGATGAATTTCTGAAGGAAAGTGATTAAGACCATAACTTATCTTCTTATCCAAATTATAAATTCCAAAGTAACAGTTTTCTCCTATATTGTTTTTTAAAAATCCTCCATACCACCTAATTGGGAATCCATTATGGGTTTAATTTCTACAGACTAGGAAAGCTTCACAGAGGCTCACTCGCTCTCTCTATCTAGTAAATCAATAAATCTTTTTTTAAAAGCTCTTATACATAGCAGGAGTTTAGGAGATGTTGGGAAGCAACACAAGCATGTTTAAGAGACATTTATGAAGCCAGGATAAATGCAAGATAATTGGGATGTTGGATTCTTTTTGGAGATTAGATTGGTAAAGGTGGACACAGTGAATACGGAGTATTATATAAACACTTAAATGAAGCAGTCAATTTCCTACCCCTCAGATCATTCAAGAAGAAAAACTTTTTTTTCCTATTTTACCTTTCAGATCATCGCCTGAGTTTGTTTCTTGGTTTTACTTTGCTTACCAGTGTGTCTCAGCCTTCCAAATCCATCCCTCTTGCAAGCTTGATTACAGAAACCTAACTGAATGTGGTGGTTACACAACTCCTACAACTACACACTAAAAAGGGTATATTTTAGGTATATTTTACTGTACCTAAATTATACCTAGAAGAAGAAAGAGAATGGGAGAAAGGGGGAAAGGATGAACTGGGGGAGAAAGGGAAAACTATGATAACCTGTATTTCCAGAAAGCAGCAACTCCAATTATTTTAACCAACTTTTTATGACATCCAAGAGTCTCTTTTTGCAGTTAGGGTTCTGGTATGGACTTAATCATGTCCCCACCCCAAAATTCATATGTTGAAACCCTAGCCCCCAATACTTCTGAATGTAACTGTAATTGATGAGAAGGTCTTTAAAGAAGTGATAAGTTAAAATAAGGCTATTAGCGTGGGGCCCTAATCCAATATGACTGATGTCCTTATACAAAGAGAAAGATACACCAGGGGTACATGTGCACAGAGGAATGACCATATGAAGAGGCAGCAAGAGGATGGCCATCTGTAAGCCAGAGAGACTTCTCAGAAGAGTGCAGCCCTGCTGGTACTTTGATCTTGGACCTCCAGACCCCAGAACTGCAAGAAAATTAATTTCTGTTTTGTTTTGTTTTTTAATTTCTGATGTTTAAGCCACCAGCATTCTGTGGTATTTTCTTATGGAAGCCCTAGAAAACTAAGATATGTTCCATTTTTATTTACTCAAGGTACCTTCCAAAAGGGTACTTTCTGTCATTTACTATGAGCTACAGTCCTTGTAGTGGACTCTTTTGCAACTCAAATCAAAAGCCTTAAAATATGACCCATTCTTTCAAACCAGTTATTATGCTTCTGGACATTTATGCTAAGGAAATAAGTGAGGATCTGTGTGAAGATTTAGCTACAAGGATTTCAATACTGTTCATAGTAGAAAAAAAATTTACAAACTACCTAATTTCCCTCAAATGGTTAATTAAAAAAATAATTATTTTCTAGCTAAAAATATTATGAAGCACTTAAATTGATATTACAGAGGAAAAATAATGACTTGTGTTTGGGTATGAATCTTACACCATCATGATGATGGGTGAAAGGTCACCATTACTTATTTTACCAAATTAAGTCTGACTCTGAACCCCACAGTTGACAGAATGGCAAAAATGTCATTACTGGGACTCCTCTCACATTTTTCACTCAAAGGCACTTGCCTCTCTCCACTTCCCCTCTTGGGCAATCTAAGACTAATACTCTGAATAAAATGCTTTTTGTTTTAAAAATATATTGAAAAAAAGGGCACCTGGGTGGCTCAGATGGTTAAGCATCTGCCTTCGGCTCAGGTCATGATCCCAGGGTCCTGGGATCGAGTCCCGCATCGGGCTTCCTGCTCCTTGGGAGCCTGCTTCTCCCTCTGTTTCTCTCTGTCTCTCATGAATAAATAAATAAAATCTTAAAAAAATATATATTGAAAAAAAAGAACCTGACATGTCGAAGAATCAAGTGGCCCATGCTAGTTCATATGATAATTAATAAATTAATATTATATTTAATAATAAAATAACAATATAATTAAAATATATATATTGAAAAAGCCACCATGAGGACTGGCTTTAAAAGGGACTGTCCTGAGGCAAAAGAATACATAGACCTATTTAATCTGTGGATATACTAATTGTATCTTATTTGACTGCTTGTGTATTCCTTTTCCTTGGGTACAAAATGTAAGCTTTCAGAAGGGAATTATATCAATTTCCTTCACACGAGAGGAGATATGAAAGGATAAGGGCTTGGTATAAAAAAATGACAGCTTCCCAAATTTAGAAGAAGTGACCAAACAAAAGTTACAAG